AGGGCCAAGGCAGACTCGGCTCAGACCCTGTGCTTCGAAATGATCCTCCTCCAAGAAGCCCACCATTCTGGGTAATGTCTGAAGAGGTATTCAGTGACTCCCACAGGGCCACACAGCTAACAAGTGACTGAGCCAGTGTTCAAATGCAGATTGGATTAAGTCACTCAGTCGTGCCCGACTCTTTGCAACCCCATGGACAGCAGCCCAGCAGCTCCTCTGTCCATGAGATCTTCCAGGCAAGCATACTGGAGTGGGTTGCATTTCCTTCTCCAGGGGATCTTCCCAACCCAGGGATCGAACCCGGGTCTCCTACACTGCAGGCAGATTCTTTATTGAGTGAGCTACAAGGGAAGCCCCAGGGTAATGTCTACCTTAGGACAAAACAACAACAAAAAAAGCAAAGTTTCGCATTTGTCAAAGCAACTGGGGGAGTCCTGCTCTTTTCATGGGATCAAACACTCTCCTATTTTTAGCAGCATCATTTTGGCTTCTAATCAATGGAAATCTTATAGGTAAAAACCCAGGAACTCTTGGTGGTGGTGATGGGGGGCTAGAGTCCCACCCATTTTGCCCTCACTCCCACCCCTGGGGCTGCTCCTAACCTACTGATTATTCCTCCTAGATCAGCATCTTGGAAGCTGGGAGTTCACCGAACTTGCATAAATCAGAGTATTTCAAACGCATGAGTTCTCTTTTTGAAGGATCTAAGCAGCAAATTCTTTTGAAATGGAAATAGTGCTTAATTCGCAATTGCCTTTTAAGCCATTTCACAAGTGATCCTAGTAATTGGGGCCTCGGGGACGTGTCACCCTCCTTGGAGGCTTCCTCTGGCTGGATTCCCTCATGCTGGTTAGTGAAGACACCAAGACAGCAGATGGGGCCTTCGAGGGGCTCTTGCTCTGAAGAAGATGGACATGCAGGAATGACCCACTAGGAGGGTGAGTGTGCTGTGCAGAGCCTGAGCGGAGTACCCAGGGTAGCCAGCCTTCCCTGGGGAGTGGGGAGGCTGCTGGAAGGGGGGCCTGGAAGCTGAATGCGTGCCGAGGAAAGAGACCAGCCCAGACCAAGGGGCGGAGGAGACCTGGGGAATCTGGCTAGCTGTGGATGGCTGCGCTTCTGCGGACTGGGCTGAGGCAGGGGGCTGAAGCCAAAGCAGCCCGTGGAACCACCCACAGAGGACCCGGCTGAGCTGTTCAGAGGTTCCTGTGGGCAATGAGGCTCCTCGGAAGACCTCTCCGTGGAAAATGGACACTATCAGCTTGATCCCAGGCTGGAAATGCTTTTTTTCCTGGGTCTGTCTGGACCAGAGAAGATGAAGAGAATCTGCCAGCTGAGTTTCCTCCGAGTACCAGACCTCTCAGGAGGCATGAATGCGTCAGTCTTGGCTCTGCCTCAGTCTCCCCCCATCAGGAACACTGCTGGCCCAGGCCTGCCTTAGCATAAGGGACACAGGAAGAAAGTAACTCTCCCTGTGTCTAGGACTGAGCAGTCATGTCCTGCTTTTGAGAGGACTGTTTCTGTTGCACCATGAATCTTGTTCTTTATTAACACGAGAGACAATGATGGGCCATGATGGGAAACTCTCACAGTGGGAGGGGGAACGGCTGGGGCTAAGAACCTCCAAGTAGCCTCAGTTTTTGAATCTGAGAAGTGGGGCTAAAAATGAATGTGTCTGGGAAATGCAGAGGGTTGGGAGGGGGGTGCTTTCTTTACCCCAACAGGGCTGATCCCCTTGTTGGGCTTGGAGTCTTTCCCTCAGTCAAATTCCAGCCAAGCCCTCATCCCTCCAACAAAGGAAGTCCTTGATTCTGAAACCAAGTTGATGGTGGACCGCAGGAATAATAGAAGGGAACTCAGCTTTTGGGGTAACAAAAAATTCTAGTTGCATCCACCAGGAAATGGAGACTTGTATAAACATTGTTACATGGCAGAGGGTGAGCTGACTATTCTCAAACACTCTTTCTCACTGTCCACCCCCTGGGATATTTATTTTATCCCATAGACAAACACTGCAAACATGTATTTCACACACAGGAATGGGGTAGATGGAGTCATTTATGGGATAGATTGTTCATCTGAGCCCCCAAAGTATCGCTCATGCTTGTTAGTGAGATGAAAGTCTTCAAATTGTTGAGGCCACAGAACCATTAAATATTAACCGCATAACCATTCTGCCCATTAAATTAATTTATGGAGTAACAGAAAAGCCTTTGGAACCCCTCTTGATAGACAGCGGCCCTCAAGAGCCACATAAAACAATCAGCCGACTGGCACTTGGTAAATTTTCCGTGACGCTCATCCAATCTGCTCCATATATGTTTAAAATTAACACTGAGATCTGGGCTGTGAAACTGCCATCAGGTGGAGGGACTGGCTGGCCAGCGAAGGCAGGGAGCCCGAAGTCTAGGGGAGTCCACTGCACGGTCAGACTTTCCATATCTGAGTCCTGGCAGAGGAGCTGGCTATGCCGTGCACAAAGCCAGCTTCACAATCTTGGGTGCATTTGAGTCCCCAGCAAATCCCAGACTCGGAGCCCATGCTGCCTAGCAGGTCCAAGGAAGATTCTGGCCAGCCAAGCAGAGCTGCCTAGGCAGGTACTGGAAATCAAACTCTAGAGGTTCTGAGCAGCATGTCCAAGGACAGGTGGAAATGAGGCAGGGCTGGCCTTGGAGTGGACTGCACGTGGCTCTGACTGTGAAGCTGGCTGTGGGGGGCAGTGATGCTGAGTGAAATGTTGGACCCTAAGTGGCACAGACAGGATGACTGGGCGGCAGGGCTGTGACGTGCAATGCCGGAGGGCAGTGACCATGGACTGCAGTTGGACTTATCACTAATGATCATTCCAAGGTCATTCCAAGGTCTCAGACAATAGGACCACAGATCCCAGCTTTCAAGTTCAGCAGAATTAAAGGTCACTTCTGCACTGCCCCGCCCCCTCTGCCATTCTCGGAGTAAATTACCGTCTCCAAGCTGCCTGGCTGCCTGGTGAACCCATGACACTGCTCTTGTTGCCTGGCCCTGAGCAGTTCTCATCTATGCTAATTAGGTTAGGGGGCCCCCTCTCCTCTTGCAGACCCCACTTAAATGGTTTCCCAGCCACCAGTAGCACCACTGGGGCCCCAGAGTCCTCATCCTGACTTAGGAGTCCTGTTCAAACCCTGATCCCAGGAGATAAGATGTTATCACTTTCTTGCTCCAGACAACCCAGGAGACGGCATTTCCACAGAGCCCAACTGCAAATGCCCCGGGCTCCACGGGCTCAGGGAGGCCGAGGCTGATGTAAACCATAAGTCCCAGTGGCAAGAGGCTTCCTCCCGCCCTGTGCCCTTCCTCAAATAGCTCTGCCCATTTGTTTAACTGCTTGAGAGAGGAGTAAAGAGAAATAAAAGCGCAGGCTTCAGCCATCAATTTAACGGGGATTGGCGATTGCCCTTTAAAGAGAAAAATGGATATTGATCTGAAGAAGAGAAACTTCTAGCTTAAGGAAATTCATCATCAGAGCATCCTTTTACCTTAAGGCAGAAAAAGTGACTGAGCATAATTTGCACAGCCACAAAATTCAAACTTAGGATAAGGAAGAATATTTGGGGGTGCCTGCCTCTCCATCATCTTGGGAACACCAGTTACTGAATTGATTGAGCAACTAGGTTCTTATTTAAATATTTTATTATTGACAAGTGTTCCAAATTATGAAATATTTATGCAGAAAGGAGCCTTATGGTAACAACTTCATGTAGGGACAGAACATTTCAGAAGTTACAAACACTGTGAGATATATTCTCCTGCTCAACCCCTTCATGAACCCCGTGAAACAGATATTTTTACCCCCTCATCTTACAGATCAGGAAACGAGCTCAGAGAGGTATAGCATCTTGCCAGGGTCACCCAGCTAGTCAGTGGGGCACTGGGATTCAACTCCAGCTCTTCTCACTCTAATACCAGCACTCACAACAAAACATTATCCCCCACTTGCTTCTCCTCAAGATTCTTGAGTCAGACTCCACAATAGTTTTCACTTAACTAGGAAATTCCATCTCCATTAAAAGCCAGTGGTGCCCGGTGATAACATTAAATTGTTTGGGTCTTGTAATAATAACAACAAAAAGCCAGCATCCATCAAATGCTTCCTCTGTGTGGACACTCTGTGCTGCTGCCTTACGCCTGTCTGGTCACTGCATCCTCATGTCTACGCTCTGAGAGGTACCAGTCTCCTTGCTGTTGGACAAGTGTGGAAACTGAGGCTCCGGGAAGTTCAGTAAGTTGCCTGAGTTCACACAGCCAGCAGGCATTCAAACCCAGGTGGTGTGGCCATCTAGAGGCCATGTTCCAAGGCCACTGAAGTGGCAGCCTCTTGTCCTTACTGCAGGGGTCCCAGGCTCTGGACAAGGTAGAAAGACAAATGGGTTCTGCTTCATGACTCGGCTGTCACTGCCTGTCTGTTTTGGGGCTTTGGCTGTTCTAATGTATGTACATGTGTGTGTGTGTGTGTGTGTGTGTGTGTGTGTGTGGTGAGTGTTATCATCTATAAAGATGTATACATGAGCATCTGCATCTACCAAGACTTCTGTGTATAAACAAATACGCATTTCAGATGATACTGAACCCGAGACTGATTCCAAAATGTCCCATAGAGAATTCAAAGAAAGAGTTCTCCTGTTATCCAGGAGTTATCCAGCCAGACGCCACAGACAGAATCCTTTCAGCAGAGGTCCCTGCACGGAGCTCCCAAGCTGGTGGAAGTGATTTAAAGGAGTGTTTTGTAAACACAGACTCCTGAAAGGAGTAGAGCCCACAGCCCTTGTGACCCAGAGGCAGTCCTGGGGTGACCCCCCCCCTCCCCGAGGGACACCCACACCCACCCCTCTGGCCAGGAAACACCGGGCCTCAGGATGCATCTGCTAAACAGCAGCAGAGAGTTCTGAACAGACAACCCTCCTTCCCAGATGCATAGACTCTCTGGCAGGTGGACCACCCCTCCCCTGCCCCAGAGGCCCTCTTACCCGGCAATACTCGTCGATGGGCTTCAGCCTCTTCACAGCTACGTCCCTGATGTGGCTCCTCCGGAAGAGGATTTTGCCTGGAAGAGAGATGCTCATGAGCTGGGTGTTTCCCGGTGAAGCTGCCGTAGGGACCTGGGACCCTGCGTTTCCTCTCCCTCAGCTTCTCAGCATCTTAGCTGGCCACCGAACGCCCCCACCTCCACCCGCTGCCAAGAAAACAAGAGAGGAGTGGTCACCTCTCCCTGGGGGCAGAAGGCGCCCCAGGCTGAGGGTCCAGGACCTCTGGGGTGGGTGAGGAGCCCCAGAGGTTGCCATCTTGGCCAAATCACCTTGTCTGGGTCTAATGGCAGGATCCATGCCCCTATGTGGGTGAGGCTCTCAAGTGACCTCACGAATAAATACAAAGGGTGACCCAACCCACACACTGTGCTTTGTTTTCAGGCCCATCCCTCCTTGAGAAATCAGCCTTCATTCCTGCCAGCCCGGCAGGAATTCCTATTCTTAGCTTAGGTGGGTGGTTATTTCCAGGGCAGGCACAGGCCAGTACAAGGAAGACGGGCCCAGTGGACCCCTCAGCTGGGCTGGCATATCCCTCTACAAGTATGGGCAAGGCTTCTGGGAAATGCCAGATCCCAAACCTTCTCTATTGGTTATACTTAGAATCTGAACTTATCGGTGTGATGCGTAGTGGTCATCAATGTCTGGGTCAGTGCCTCCTTTTTTAAAAGACTTCCTTGATTGCCGAGCTGAGAGTAATCACCCTCTTTCCAGAATATCTACACGTTTTGTCCAGTCCTAAGACACACACCACATTCTGCTATGTATTGCTGACATTCGTGAGCGCCCTCCACCAGGGGCCTGTCTGACTTACCTTAGGGCCCGTAGAGCCTAGCATGTGGTGAGGGGCTCACCTCATGACTTTAACAGGCATCTGTTGTCCCATAGACCACCCATCCCCCCTCTGGAGAGCCTCCTTCCTTCGTTTCTAACCACGTGGTTCACACGGAGCTGACAACACCCCCTGTCAACAATGGTAGGCAGGTGACCCAGTCTAGCTACCCAGAGTCACAGTGATTGGCTCAGAGGTGGGCAAGGGGACAGGATCTGGACCAATGAGGGTCAGCCCTGAGACCTCTGCTGGGGTCCTCTTCCTCCCAGTGTTTCCCCCCACACTTGCTAAGCTGGCAGGATGAAGGCCTGGAGCTCCTAGTGACCATCTCCATCATTGCCTGAGATGGAAACAAACCAAGAGGAAGGATCTGAGCCTGGGCCAGAGTTGGTGCTCAATAATTTTTTCTTTTCTTTCCTCTTTTTCTTGGCTGTACCATGTGTCTTATGGGATCTTTGTTCTCCAATCAGGGATGGAACCTGTGCCTTTGGCAGTGAAAGCATGGAGTCCTAACCACTGGACCACAAGCGAATTCCCTCAGTAACTGTTTCCTGAATGACTGAAAAGCAGAGCCAAGAGAGGGTGAAGGGCAGACCCATTTGACATCATTTGAGCTGCCAGATATAGCTGTTCCTAAACCCAGGGTCTACCTGGGACTTTTCACTTATATAAAATATTATAATTTTCTAAAATTGAAACTTGTTGGAGATGCATTTTAATCCTTTAGGACTCCTAAATGAGATGATTCCCATTCCACGTGAACAAATATGGAGACTGCATGTTAAGATACTTAAGCTTCCTCTATTGGTATCGTTTGGTCACTAAGTTGTGTCTGACTCTTTTGCGACCTCATGGACTGCAGCCCACCAAGCTCCTCTGTCCATGGGATTTCCCAAGCAAGAATACTGCAGTAGGCGCCATTTCCTCCTCCAGGGGAATCTTCCTGACCCAGGCCAGCATCTCCTGCTTGGCAGGTGGATTCTTTACCACTGAGTCACCAAGCATGAGCATTGTGTTGGACTAGGTTGTCTCCCCAGAAGTAGACCCAGAGATGAGGAAGTGAGTGCAAGTTGTTTGTTTGGGAAGTGATCTCGAGAAGTAAGGCAGGACAGGCAAGAAAGTGTCACCTTGCCAGTTAATCACTGGACGGCGGCAGCTCAGGTCTGTTGAGGAACTCGAGGCTCATGTAGAACGCACTGCAGAGGTATCACCGTCAAGGGCGAGGAGACTGGGGTGCTTACCACCAACCCCCTGCTTGTCTGAGCTTCTGAGAGCACTGCTTCTCAGGCGCTCCTGGCCAAGGATGTTCCCACGGCTAGAACAAAACTCCCAGTTGTCCCTGTGAGCAGACTCTGGCAGGGGCCCTGGGGGCCCTGGAAGCAGCTGCTGCAGCGCTCCCTGACCTCCCCGTCACCACGGGTACTGGTCACCAGCCCTGTTCCGGCCAGACTGCCGAGTGCCTAACTTATTAAGTCGCGTGTGACTTCTTGCTTGTTTGTGTCCCTCACCCCTCTGCACTCAGCGTGAACCGGCAGCTGCTTCCTCCCCTTACACCACACCTGCACTGAGCACAAGGCTTTGCATACAGCAGGCGTCCAATAGGCACTTGCTGATCCACGCACCTCCCTCCCTCTCTCAGATGCTCCCTCAAGCTCCCCTTCCTCCCTTTCTCACGGAAGCCTGGTAGAGGGGCTGTGTCCCAGGCAGAGAGGTGACACTGTGCAGACTGGACGGTGTCATCAAGATAAATGGGCTCCTCCATGTGCTCCTTTTGAAAGGAGATAAAATGTGATTTATCAAGACACGAGAGACGACTGTCTTTCCTCGGGGGAAGATGTCACAGAGTTGGTATTCCTGGCCTCTTTGTCTCCTACCCTTTTTTGGTTGCCTGAGGGCCGGAGGAGTACACGTGTGCAGCCAAAGGGGATGGCATGTGAGATGAATGCACGCGGGAGGAGACCCGCTCTCTAGACCTATGAATGACAGGCGGCCCTGGGCAGGGTTCTGGGCCTTCTCCCTGAGCCGGCTGGCTGTCAGGAGCTGGAGGCCACCCAGGCTCAGTGACACCAGCAGCCCAATGGTGTCTCACAAGAGCCTGGAGGACTTGCTGGGAGGCAGAGCACCTGGGCGGGTGTGGGGACCGGAGCTGGGGGCAGGGTGGCCCCCAGACCTGGCTCTGTCCTGTGCTTCTTTCAAAGGAGAAAGAAGTAACTGATCCACTCTCCAAAAATAGCACTCCTGCTCTTTCTCATCCTATCACAGGACAAAAAAAAAAAAAAAAAGCAGAGAGGTGGGGAGACAAACTAGGTCCCTCTTCTAGGCCTCCATCTCAGGGCTGGCCAAGCCTATGACTGGGTTTGGTATTCTTGAGATGTACAGATATAGATATAGATATAGACATAGAAAGATCAGATAGGACTTGACTCAGTTGCAGAGACAGAACTAGCAAAAAAAAAAAAAATAGTTAAGGGACACTTAAGGCCTCCAGAGGTACAGAAATTTAGAAGAGAGGGCTGGCGTGGCAGATAGGGAGGGGGCTGGGAGGGCCCCTCACCCTACCTTACCCCTCAAGCCCACCCTCTGCAGTCATGCCTCCAGGTTGGACACTTCCCATCTCCTTCCCAAGGCTCATGGGTCTGTTGCTCAGGTATAAAGTCAGAGGAGAATTTCTGTACGCCATTTCCCAGTCGAGTTTTTGGACTCCTAACAGGGCTTCCCTCCTCACTGAAACCCTGACCGGAGCACTGTCTTCTTTCCTTGGGGCCTTGGCACAGGTTGCCGGGAGTGGAGGAGGCAAGGGGGGGCGGGGAGGACAGATCTGGAAGGGACTCTACAGCCTCGACTTCTCTGTTAGGAATCCAAACCGCACTTGGAAGGCCAAACCAGTGACCGTATTAAAAGGGAGAGAAAGAGAAAGAAGAAGGAGGAACATCCCCATTAAGGAAGCTGGGGCCACGGGACATTAAAGGCCTCTTGTAAATGTAATTCAGCCCGTTTACGGCAAGGCCAGGAGAGGCCCCTGCCAGAGCCTTCAAAGCCAGGCAGATGCAGCCCCAGAAATATGATAAGCATCGTAAGGAAGATTACACCCGGGACCTGAGACAGACCTCAGGATTAACTCATTCCTGAAAGCGGAGAAGAGAGCTGTCGAGCCCGACAGGGCCTGAGCCTGTGAGTGGAGGCCCCTCCTCCTGCCACTCTGGGCCGGGCTGAGACAGTGAGGGGGCCTCAGTTGGAGTCCTGGGTTCAAGTCCTGCCCGGGCCGCAGGCTGGCTATGTGACCCTCCACTCCGGGGCCTGTGCCTTTCATCTGGAGACTGAAGGGCCGGGCCTTGGTGGCTGCTCCCTTCAGAGTCCTAAGATGCATGTGGGGGTGGGGTCGTTGAGGGGTCAGACGAGGAGTGAGGGGTAACAGCAGCTAGGCAACTCCTGCCAGGCACAGGCTAAGAGTTTTCCATTGGGTTCTTTGACCTAATCCTCACCACTTTAATTTTAAAATTTTCTTGTTAGGTTTTTTTGATATGGACCAGTTTTTAAAAGTCTTTATTGAATCTGTTACAATACTGCTTCTGTTTTATGTTGTTTTTCTTTTTTTGTTTGTTGTTGTTGTTGTTGTTGTTTTTGACTGCGAGGAATGTGAGATCTTAGCTCCCTGACCAGGGATCAAACCCATACCTGCTGCACTGGAAGATGAAGTCTGAACCACTGGACCACCAGGGGAGTCCCCTTACCAAGACTTTATTAAAGCAACTGCTTTTACCCCCACTCTGCCCAGGAGGCAATGGTGGCTCAGAGAGGTTGAAGGACGTGTCCTAAGTCACACAGCTATGAAGTGGCTGAGTTGGGATTTCAACCTGGGGTTTTGGAGCTAAGATAGTGAGAGCGAGAGAGAAGGCAACAAATCTCCAAAGAATTCTTTGGGCTCAGATCATGTAAGGCGGAGAGAGCCACTGAGGATGTTCATGTGTGTGTGATGGGCACGTGATTCACATCTCCTCCATGCCAGGTGCTGGGCTGGGGATCTGGGGAGTAGCTGCCTTGGGGGCTGAATGGGAATGAAGCAAGCAATGAAACAAGCACTGATTGTGGAGGATGCCCCACATCACGGGGGTCTCTGCTGACCAGATACAAGTGAATGAATGAGTGGGTAAGAGTAAGCAAGGGAATGAGTGAAAGGACCAATGGACCAACGAGGCAGGGAAAGAGAGGTGACCCAGTGTCTAGTGGACTTGGAGAGGAAGAACTCCCCGAAATGGCAAAGCTCCCTGTCCTTTAAAGGGCCCTTACTACCCCATCCCCATCCCCAGCCTGGCTGAGCAGGTGCCAGCCCAGTGGTAGAGGGGGATGCTCATCCTCATAAGCAGGAGGGCATCACATGGGGGAGGCTGGCTCTGCCTCACCACCGCCCCGCCCCCCCCCCTGCAATCTGGCCTGACCTTCTCACCATGAATGTCCACTCTGGGCAGGGACACACAGGTGGGCACTGGCTAGGAGGTCCCCGCATTTAGGAGGCAGAGGGTTTCTCCCTCCCACACGGGATACCAGGCACTTAATGAAGCATCTGAGTGGCACGTGAGAGGTCTTAGTAGTTGGCATTTGTTTCTAAAGAATGAATTATTTCAATAAGCAGAGAGATGAGGACATGGCTCCTTCTCACTGGTAGGGAGAAGTGGTTAAAGAAAGGACTGAAACTTCTGAGCGCTGTTAACCCCCAGGCCAGCCACAACCCCAAGTTCCTCCTTGTGAAATGTGGTATCCACGGGGATCCCTTGAGCAGGAGTTGGGGGTTTGGGCACATAGGAAGAGCAGAAACAGCAGACACAGCACTCCTGGCGAGGGAGCCCCCACCCAGCCATGAAGAGCCTGTGGGAAAACTCCACAAACCAGGCTCGTGTTCTGACAAATGGGCAAGTACCCACTGCACAGGGGTAATAAGAGGGTACTGGCTTCAGGGGAAATAGGAGAGAGCTGGCTTCGTGTGGTCTGTCCAGGCTGATCTATTCTTGGCAGCCTCTCCTCTTCAAAATCCACAGCATATATGCATGCATGAATACATCCTCATATAACTCCCTCTTCCTTGCTATTTTTGCCATCTGAAATGCCATCCATCT